CCACCAACACCAACACCATCACTGTCATTATCGCCATCATCACCATCACTGTCAGTATCACCATCATCACCACCACCATTCTCCATCATTGCCATCATTACGGCCACTACTAACTGAACACCTGCTAAGTGCCAGGCACACCAGGTTTGTTTTCTATGTTTAGGCTCCTAGCAACCCTGTGAGGTTGGTATAACTTTCCCCATGTTAGAGACAAGGAAATTCAGGGCCGAGGAGAGACAGCATGGCAAGGTAACAGTCTAGACCCAACGGGACCCGACAGCCACACCTCCTCACGCTGCTGCTCCACTAAACTGAGGCTGCTCCCGAACTCCTTCCTCTGAACCTTACACTGATTCAAAGGCCCCTCTGTCCCACCTGGAACAGTCTGTTGCTAACACCACTCCCCAGCGTGCCTTGCAGGACACCCTTTTCCATCTGGAGTGGCCAGAATGGGTTCTGTGTCTGCACCTGAGCCTGGTCTGACACAGTTCCACACATCACATGTGTGCAGATGGGTGCCCGGCATGCTGGTGGGACGGACAGTACAGAAGCTTTGGGTCAAGTATGATGTGCCCTGCATGAAGGGTGCAGGCTGGGGGCTCCTTCCCCCCCAGACAGTCGGTCACCAGCACCTGGAGCACACAGGCATGAAGCTATGCCTCTCCTGGAATCACACTGAGCTGCATGGCCCACACCAGCTTCTCCACTCCATCACCAAGACACTTCCCAGGGTGGGGAGGGATTCATGAAGCTGGAGCCCAGAATACTCACTGACTTTGCATCTGCATGTGGTATCCAGCAGCCCAGGGGACAACAAGCCCAGAGCCTGTGACTCCATACAATGACCCTTGGAGGGATCACAAGACAGGCAGACAAAACCAGGGGTGCCAACTCAGGCACCTGTACCCAAGCTAAAAAGGAGGGACACACAGGTCCCAAGCCTGCAGCCTCCCCCAGACCCAGCAGGGAGGGCGGACGGCTCCCCCACACCCCGCCCTGGAGAAAGGAGTGTGTCCACAACTCCCACCAGGAGAGGGGCAGATGCTGTCTTCTGCTCCAAGGCTCAGCAAACCATGGCCCAGAGGCCAGAGGCTCCCCCGCCTGTTTCATAGATAAACTTTTTTATTTGAACACAGACATACTCTTCCATTTCTGTACTTTCTACAGTTGCTTTTGCACGACACTGGCCAAGCTGAGGAGTTATGCTGGAGTCCACATAGCCCTCAAAGTCAAAACTATTTACTAATTGGCCCTTTATAGCAAGAATTGGCTGACCCCGACCCCTGTGCCAATCTGGGGCCCACAGGGAAGGGGTTTCCTGAGAGTGCAGCAGCCAGCGTAAGTGAGGTCAGGTCACCAACGTATTTTAACCTTTTCTAATAATAAAAAAGCAATGCTTTCAAAGACCATCTTGTCCACAATTATTTCAAGTGACAAAAAGCACACTTTCCCTGGGTTTTTAATTTTTGCTTTTTTTTTTCCAAGATAAAATATGCCCAAAATCTACTGGGGAAAATTAAGGGATGTTTTTCTATCTAATGCAGTAATTAGGAAGCAGATGTTAGTTCAGATGTTTTACCAGCCACAGCCAAGCCTCATGATGTGTTTTTCTAGTGCAGCTGAGCAATGCATCTCACACTGTTCAAGTCATTCACCACCTCAGCTCGGTGGGTACTGAGGGCTGCATGCAAACCCCATCAATACGCTTCCCTTAAGGAGGAGGCCGGCAGCCCTGCAACATGCCACTCCAACCCCACACACTTTGCTGCTCTCCTGGGCCAGGTACGGAGACACCGAAAGATGGTAGTTTATGTCCCTGAGAAGATGGACACAAGGGCAGGGAACGTTGGTGAGGAAAATGGTCCTGGACATTCCACCCTGGCTGTGTCTTGCAAATGTCTGCAGAGCAAACTGTACAACAAACAGTACCAAGGGGTCGGTAGGGAGTTGGGTTTTAAAAGATGCATAAGAGTTTTTCAGAGGAAAGAATCCAGAGAGGTTTAAAACCATGTGGGGCCGCAGCAAAGTGGCTGGGGGCCCGGGTTAGTGAGTAGCCAGGGAGGGGTCGGGGAGGACTTGGTGTAGGTGAGGCTGAAGGTTTCACCCTAGAGGGCACAGTGAGCCGCAGGATGGGAGGACGGCTCTGAATGGAGAAGGGAACACTGAGAGCCCACAGAGACCCAGGCACAAAGAGCCCAGGGCCTCCAGCAAAGCCCCTCTCCGTCATCTCCCTCTGTTCCTCCAGCAGGAAGACTCCCCTACCCCACTATGCTTGGTCACTCAGCATAGCTTCTACCTCTCTGTACCCTGCAGACTTGAGGCTCCTTGAAGTCAGAGAAAGAGAGTAATTTAAAAGGGGGGCAGAGAACTCCTTAAACAGTGATGCCCGGGGATGAGCCTGACCTTGAGCTCTAAGGAAACTAGCAGCCCCTGCCCCCTGAAGCAGCATCCCCAACCCCAGGAATTCCCCATGATCCATGCCCTTCTCACCCACACCACGAGCTCCCCTGCCGCTCTCCTCCCACCTGCAGGAGCAGCAGCTCTCCCGCTTCCCCTCTGCACAGCTCCCACACACTGCCCAGGACGCCCCCTTGTCAGGTCGGGCTCACCCTCCCAAGGGCAGGGATCAGGCCTGGAGCGTGCAGCACCCCCCAGACGCTCTGCTCTGCTGCCATCCTGGGTCACTTGGTCAGTCTTACAGAAAAGTGGGCACTTTGATTTATTCACAGCAAGGTTCCACCTCTGGGTCTAGACTAGGAAGAACCAGAAGCAGAGTCCTGAACGGATATTTGCACGTCCACGATTACAGCAACGTGATTCATAACAGTGCGGTGGAAGCAGCCCGCACGCACAGCGGGAGAGTGCTCGGGCGGGAAAGGGCAGGAAAGTCTGACCCACGCTAGGTGGACCTCGAAAGCATCGCCCCAGGGGCTGACCAGACGGGAGAGGAAATGCTGCATGATTCCACTTACATGAGGCCCCTATGACAGCCAAACTCAGAGACAGAAAATAGAGTGGGGGTGCCAGGGCCTGGGGAGGGACTGGAGTCAGGGCTTCATCTGAGGGAGGTGATGGCTACACAGCCATGACAAGGTTCTTAAGGCTGCTGAACTGTGCACTTAAAAGTGGTTAAAATGGTAAGTTCTTGCATCAGGGCATATTATTACACGCACAGTGGAAAGCTGGCTTTTGCTATGTGATGGTGTCACACCTCTCCTGGGGTGCCAGGACTAACTCAGGCTTTGTCAGCCACGTCCTTCCCCATTTCATGACACTGACAGGCCCCTCTCCCCGTCCCAAGTTGACACCTGCTATTATAGACTCGGGAACGGAGCCGAGTTTGCTCCTCAGCTCCCAAGGGTGAGGACAGTAGGACCCTGGTTCAGTGCACATCTTCTGGAAGGTGCACAGCTCAGAGGCTCAGCCCTGGAGTCGAGCTGACCTGGGCCTGGAGCCCAGCCTGGCAGGCTCCAGCTGTGTACCCAGGCTGCTCATGGTGCTCCCTGGGGCTGTGTCCTCTCTCCCACAGCAGGTGAGACCCACCTGAGAGGGCCCTGGCACTATGCCCTGCGCCCCCAGGTAGGGGGGCAAGGGGTGTATAGACTGGGGGCTCCCACTGACCTGGTTGTAGAGGGCACAGATGTGCAGGGCCGTGTTCCCCGATGCATTCTGGGCGCCCATGTCCGCCCCGTAGAACAGCAGGTGCTCCAGATGCTGCACGTGTCCGTACCTGCAGGCCTGCAACACAGAGCCCCTGTGAGAGCTGTCCCACCACCTGTGCGGACCCCCACCCACCCACCGTCCTATACCCAGCCCTGCATGCATCAGAACTGGCTGCGGCCCAAGGCTTGGGGTGGTGGCAGGAAGAGCCACTTCCCTGGCTGGGAACTGGGGAGGAGCCTCATGACTGCTTTGGGGACTTGTGCTTGACTGTCAGAGGCTCTGTGAAAGGGCCCCCAAGTTCCTTCCATTCAGGCTTAGGGGCCTAGACGCCTAGAGACACATGGGGCTATCATTTTCCTGGCCTCCTTGGCAGGACACCCAGCCCTAGCCTTGGGTCGCCAAGGAGTGGGTGGCAAACAGCTGGAGTTTGGGGAGCCCATGTTGGTCCTTTTGTATGCAAGGTGCAGCCCCACTGCTGCGTTCAGTGTAACCCAGACCCTAAGCAGGTGCTGGGAGGTAGTGACTGCCCGGGAGGCAGTCCTCAGTGTGACTGGCTCTCACCGAGCCTTGCCGGGGTGAGGATTGGGAATAACAAGTGCACCTTGTGACCCATCAGGACGTGTGGTCGAGCAGATCTGGGCCCCGTCTCAGACCTTCCCTTTATCAGAACCTTCACCTCTGAGGTCCCCACCTACATCGTCATCTATGAACAGGGACAACACAGCACGTCACAGGGCTCGTGTCTGGATCACAGGGGACAAGGGACCCCACAAGACCTCACACAAGGCCAGGTGCCCAGCAGAGCTTGATAAGCTGGTGTGACCCTGCTCCACCCCGGCTCACAGGGGACGAGGAGGTCCCACACATTGATGAGTGTGCCTCTGTCCACCCACATGGTAGACATAGCATGCTGCTGGTAATCCTGGGCTCCTGACCACTGAGACAGACGGAGGTGAACTTCACCTCGGCAGGGTCCAGGAGAAAGGGCTGCATCTGGGCAATCAACAGGGAGGAAAGATGGCAGGGAAGATATTACAACTATCAATTTGATGAGCTTTTTTTTTTTTGGCTGGGGCTGGGTTTGAACCCACAACACTTGGCCTATGGGGCCAGAGCCCTACTCCTTGAGCCACAGGCGCCACCAATTTGATGAACTTTTAAAAAACACTAAGAAACTTCCACTTTCATTGCAGTGCCTCCCACAAAATCCCTTTTTTTTTTTTTTTTGAGAAAGAGAGTCTATGTTTCCCTCTGTAAGTGCCGTAGCATCACAGCTCACAGCAGCCTCCAACTCTTGGGCTTACGGAATTCTCTTGCCTCAGCCTCCCAAGTAGCTGGGATTACGGGTGCCCACCACAACACTCAGCTACAAAATCCTATTAATTTATAAAGCACATGCTTCCCGCGGATATGGCTGCCTTTGCCTGCCCTGCCCCAGGCCCCTTCTCCTGGGAGCAGCATCTGCAATTCCCTTTGGGGCCCCCCAACTGTACCCTGAGAGGTCCCAGGAGGGCCTGCTCCACCCTGCCCCTGCAGAGGGCACAGGACAGAGCCCAGAGCAAGAGTCCCTCCTCCTAGGCATGGCTACAGATGTCCCAAGCTAGAACATCTGTCAGAACTACTGGGAAAGAGAAGTCCTTTGTTCCTCCTGGGATGTCCAGGAGAAAATACTGCAGACGCCGGGAGCTGCTAGGGCCCATCTAGGGCCCATCGACAGAAGTGAAGGAGGGGAAACGAGAGGAGGAGAGAGAGTAGGAGGCAGCAGGCAGACTAAGCCCGATGACACCGCCTGAGCCCTGCTAAGCTGCCCTGTCTCTGCATTTTTCGGGGTCATAAAGACAAGGCATAATCCCCACGCCCCAGAAACCAGTTTGAGTTGAGATCTTTGTTCCTTACATTGCAGAATCTCTGGCTATTCAGCTCTCTCCAGAGGACTTCTAACAGGCGACACTCTGTTATAGTTTAATTTAATTGCTCTTTACTCAATAAAGAAGAGCACTATGTTACCATAAAAACACTGCACGATTAATCCAGACTCATTATTCCCCTTCCCCCCTTTAATCTAAATTTACAAAGCTTTAAGTTCCACCCCTGGGATAGCTCCTGGGCACGCTGCCCTCAGCAGGGGTCACATGCCCTCAGTGCCAAGAGAAAACGGAGACACTGACCCCTGGGCCCGCCCTTCTCAGTCCTCTTTGCCCAGAACATCGCTTTACAACACACAGGCTGGTAAATACTGAAAAGAACTAAAACTGAAATCCCCGTAACCCCACAGTCTCGCACATTTACCAGGAGCTTCCGTTTAAGAGGATCTCAGTGAGTCTCCTTTTTAATCCCTGGTTGTTGAAGCACAGAGGTGGTGCTTGGGATAGGGGTGTGGTATGAACCCACAGTCCTTACCATAAAGAGAAATGGAGAAAAGAAAGTGAAAATGTGGGTACACATATGACATATCTCCCTGACTCTGGCCACTGAGGGGGCGTGGGGTCAGTAGCAGTCTGGCGGCAGTCAGTGCTACCCGGGTCTCAGAATCTACGCTGAAAAGAACCAAGCCACCTTGGAGAAATGGCCAATTCCAAGGCCAAAGCAGAAAAAGAACAAGGACTTTTAACTGTCAGTTGCGCCAGAAAAAATGTAAGTGGCCTCAAGTTGATAGGGATACGTCCCAAGGAGCCCCCTTGAAGGGGCACCCACTGGCTTACACTGGGATAACAATGAATTATTTATTACCTATAAACAGAAATCTAAGGGTCTTCTCCTTGCTATAAACAAAGGAATAAACAAGAATAGAAAACTTTTTTAATATAACAGAAAGCCAACTAATACATGTATAAGCGATGAGAGGATTCTAACAGTCTCCATTTAGGAACCATGATGGTGACAGTTAATCCAGGCCAGAAACGCCACTGGACATAGAGTAACTATGTTTGAAAAACCTGGTAGCCTTCAGGTGACCAGGACTTCCCAGTAAACACACAGTAACAAGGAAATGGTCATCTTGTGTCCCTGAGAGGACGCCACTCCAGGAGCTCAGCGTCATAAGCTCTTCCCGCCAAAATGTGGGATCTCACAAGCACACACAGAACAGACCCAAACTGAGACAAATGGGTCCTCTTCAAAAGGGTCACAGCCACACGAATTGAGGGAAGACTGAGGAACTCGGACCCCAGACTCAATCCTTCTGCTGTAGGGGACACAACTAGGCCAATGGGCGGCACTCAAATGTGGGCTCTGAGTGAAGGGCATGTGACAGTTCCCTGTGCTTTTCCTGCAACCCTTCCATAAGTTCAAAATGAAAACAGTCATTTACAATTTTAAAAAGAAATAAGGACTAGCTTGCCAGCAACAGCCACCAGAGTGTGGGAGTGAGGACCTTGTCCGCCCCAAGATGAGCAATGCTAACGCTTTCTTCTTGTTTGGAGAAGGCTGCTGGGCTCTCTGGCCACTAGAAGGCAACTTACAAGGACTGAGGGAAGGTTGAAATAATTGAATGTAAGACAGAGTCGGCCCTTTTCCCTCTCACATAGGAACCAGCTTCTTGAGGAAAATGCCTGTGCATGGGAAACTCCACCCACATCTTCAGCCTCTGAACCTCCAGATGAGGCCTGGGCAGGTGCATTTGGATAAAGCCCCCAAGAGATTCTGCACTCACCCCAGCTAAGCCTCCCATCTGACCACACAATTTGGTACAAATTATTTGAGAAAGGGTGTGCTTTCCTTTAGGCACTGTACTGCCACCTGCTGGTCATCTGTGATAAACCTACAGTCCAGCATTATAGCAAAGGGAGCCGTGCCCCCAACTCCACAGGGATTATGCAGTGCCCAGCGCCGCAGATGGAGAGCCGAGGGGTTTGCTGTGTTGCAGCCAGGCAGCCAATGTCTGCTGAGGTGACCCCCCTGCTGCTTCAGCTTGGCCCCGTGCCCCGAGCAAAACTGTGCCAGTCCAAACCACACTTGGACACTTCTGCACCAGCGCTTTTCAACCAGTGTGCGGTGAGAGGCTCTTAGGTTGCACCATAAGAATTTTTAAAAGATCATTAATTAAATTATTTTCAAAAGAAGTTCAAAGCACAATAAGTATATTCTTTTTTTTTTTTT